TTAATGACCTCCTTCATTTGGTTCGGCTTATATTATGGGGAAATTTTAAAGCTAGCACAATCAAAATTGGAAATTGGGTGAGGTATCTCACTAACCGCGCGTACCTTGGAGACTGTTTTTCGTTTCCCGAAACCAGCATATTAGAAAGTTTGTTATCGTATATTACTAGTAATATACAACGAAATAACTAACGGAAAATGTCACAACTAAGAGGTCGGTCTGTCAACGGAACAATAACTGCGGATTAGCAAAGAATGAATTTGTGAGAGCACAGATCAGAGACCGGGACGGGCTGGGTACAAACAATTCGGCCTCCAAATGGGAATAACGTACTTGGACCAACATGCATCCGGCATGTGACGACAGAGAAGCAGTTGTGCGAGCAAAGCGGCCGTGGAGTGAATTAAACTGATGTCCAAACTTCGTTGATTCAGTCCGACCACATCGGTCACGTGCTCCGAGGATGCAAACAGACAAAACTCGGCTGTTCGCAGCGTGATCCACGCATCGTTTCTGAAGCGGATGCACGAGGTTGGATTGAGAGAGAGAGATGGCGGGGAACAAAAAGAGATAAGTACAGAAATGGACCGCGACAATTTGCTCATAAACAGTGTAGCACGTTGATCACAGAAATTGTACATCAAAACAGATTAATTTTATTTTATTGGGAGAATGAATCGCCATCATCATTGTTTGGCTATTCAGTCCATGAATGCGATCCTCAATCGTGTTGGACATTTATACATTCGGTGAATCCCCTTCGGAAATGCCACGGATTGAGTACTGTTAGATACGTCGGGATCCCGAGGTAAGTTGAGCTACACGCAAGTCTCTGAAGACGGATTCAACAAATCTGAGTTGTCTATTTGAAGCGTATTCTTGGTGCTCTAGCCCCCATTTAATCTTTCTTTATAACGCATACACTGGAACTTATTACATAATTTCAAACATTGCACATTCCCCATCGAAGAGACCAGCTATCACGTTTATCTTTCCCCTCGAGCTATACACGCGTTGCGCAGTTTCATCCCACTTTCGCGATCGTTGAGGTACGTTGCTC